TTTTGACAACCACCCATATGTGCTTTTTCCTAGGATGACGGGCATGCCTGGAACAAATCAAACTTTGGACATGCCCTGCAGTAGCTGGATCAGGTCGGCTTAGCCGAACCGTGCTTCAGCTTCAGCTCGAGTGCATCTCACGCAGAGGTGGTTGCACTCGCATCTATGACCTGGATACTCCACCCTGCTATTTCCTGCTGCCCCGGCATCATAGTTGCTTCATGTGAGTTGCGTGGAATCATGTTGTACTTAAAACGAAGGTTCCTGGTTTGACTGCGCAAAGGTTTTCAGGGCCAGAGGGCCTGCTGCCGGCTACAGCTCACTGGTGACCATCCTTGCACTCCACTCATGCGAGATGCTTATGCACTTTGAAGAAAACTGCTTAATGCAAGCACCCCACAGTGTACACAGCTGCACTTCAGGCAACCGAGGCTGTTGACCCTGAGGCGTGCTTTGGAACTTTTTGATTGCGGCCCAGCGGCGACGATGATCTGCAAGCACATGGCGAAGTTCTCTCGCTCAGCAATGTCCTGCGTGACAGGTATCTTGGCATTGGGGTCATGGGCGCTCAGTGCAAGCGTTAGCAGGGTGCTGCGAGCCTTAAATCGGAAGGAGAGGCACTCTCCGCTTTCAAGCACCTGCGTTGCGCTGATGCAACGATTTTTGCGCTGATGCTGCCACATTCCTCGCATATTCTCACCTGCGCTAACGAGCACGAGTTGTTTTAGCTTCAGCCAGCGAGCGGGCTCGGGCAGCATTTGGAACTGCAAGAGCTAAGCCTATGTGGAGAGAGCTCGCTGATTCCGCGACGACTACAGCTTAGGCCACTCTGCACACGCCACGTGCGGGCAAGTCGTTAATTTCCTGGTACGAGATGCCAGGCTGCGATCGAGTTTTAAAAACTTACTCGTCAAGACAGGACTTCTTGTTCTGCTTTAATTAATCTTGCCTATCCAGACCTTACAAGACCCACCCTTCCGTTTGAAGGGGTGACTCTCATCACAGCATGACGTTGAAACGTGCTGGGAAAGACTTTTAAAGTCAGTCTCCACCGGCAGTTCAAAACCTGCGAAGGGCCAGGGCCCTCTTAGTGGCCTTGCCTTGTGAAGTCACAAACGGTTAGCAAGACTACACAAGGCTGCGCATGCAAATGATCAAGTGATTTGTCTGTGCGCAAACTCCTTCAGTGACTGTTCCCACCTGCACACAGGGCGGACTGATGGAAATATCAGCAAGTCTAGTATCAAGACGTGCTACTGGATACGGTCTGTGTCTCCCCCGCGGCCTGCCTATTTAAATCCAAACTGCCGGCGGTCTAGACTCATCATCTATGAGCTACGGCCTTTGTGCACAAGACTTTTGTGAAGGTGCAATAAGTAAGCTGCGCATTTAGGAATCCCAAGGTCGCCTTTCATCTGACTGCTGCGAGTGTGCGGGCCTTGTCGTTGCAACATGTTCTGGTTTACCAGATTTGTCGCTGGCTGTAGGCTGTTCAGCCTTGCTCGGAAAGTTGACAAGTTCCTCCAGTGGGAGCATCTCAAATGCTTTACGTTCTCTATGTCCGGCCCCTGAAAGCAACGTGAATCCCTGCCGCATCCTGGTAGCAGGATGGCGGTACCTACCATCACGCAGCCCCTTACGCGGGCGACTTGCTTCTCAAACCGGCCACACAAACATCCCATGGGCAATACAGTGCCCTCCCCAAGCTTACACACCCCCCAAAAAATACATTGTAGGCTTTTAGGACTGCCGTCCTTCAGTCCTTCAAAGAAGGAGCCTTCCTGGCATTCCCCCCACAAAGCCCTACTACACCTCCCCAGACCCCCTAAAGGATCCAAAAAATGGAACCCCCTAATAATCCCCTAGTTTCCCCAATGAAGTAATGGGTTCATATTGGGGGGGTTCCATTTTTTGGATCCTTTAGGGGGTCTGGGTCCCCAGGTTTGTGTAGTGGCTGTGATCCACGCTGCCCAACCTGGCCTGCATGAGACGATGCCGAGCTTTCCAAAAGCACCTTCTACAATGTTTAGGGGTTTAGGGTTTCAGGGTATACGGTATACTACACTATTCCCAATGTTATTCGTACTGCAACTATCAGTCCTATCATCACGATTGGAAGTACCTATTAGCAATATTATCAACTACTCTGAAAATCAGTACCATTTTTACTGTTATTATTGTTATTAACAACAACAGTACTGTTCAGTGAGTTCTCCATATCGATGACCCCTAAACTAAAATTCTCATCTATTCCTTAATAGGTCCCCCTATACCCTTTACATATCCCCTGAAGGTCCCCGCTCGCCCCGACCTCACATGCACAGCATAATCTTCACGATGTTGTGCTATTATCTTGAGGGAATAGTTGATATTTCCAGCAAGAAGAAGAATAAGGACCACATTTGGTCCTGCGTGTGAATGACTTGCTGAAGAAACCGGGACCGCTCAAAACCCCAAACCCTAAACACGGAGTACTCCGTCATCCCCAGGACTACATAGGACCCCAAGAGGTAGTACAAGGGTCCAGGAAGTTTTAGGGTTTGGGGTTAGGGTTTAGGGTCCAGGAAGAGGAGCCATGCCGTAGTCATTTTTCAAAGGTCCCGAAGTGTTTACGTTGCACTGCTCCGGAAAAGTCCAAGCTGTTGTCAGGATGATGCCCTGCCAAGACACAGAGGTTTCCCAAAATTACGGTAGGGGTGCCATTTTGGGGTCCCTATGATAAGGGGTGGGGTCCTCCTGTTTAGGGAAGCTACCATACAGTTAGTGAAGGGACTATGGCAGGCCGCCGGTCAGCTAAGTGCGTTAAAGGGATTGAGAGTCCCAAGTCTAGATGCATGCATAAGCATATGGTAGTTTCCTTAAATAGGGGGACCCCAATATAGACCCCAAAATTCTCCAACCCTTGTTGTAGGAACCCCCCAAAAAGGACCCCGAATTTTGGGAATTCCCCATCCCATATGCACGTAGACATAATGTGTTCATATAAGTATATGTTTATTCCTCTTAGCCGCTCTGAGGAATCGGCGGCTCGCTTTTGGAACTCCCTCATCATGACCGCTGTTATGGTGGCCTGCAGAGCAGTGTCCGAACAGGAGAACGTCTCCAGGCAACCATATGATGCACGGTTTTTATTTAAGTTCTGGGCAACTGGTCAATGGAAAATTGGTGAGTGTGCTATCGTTTTCAAATTTTCGGTGTATATGTTGTCGTTATC